GAGGAGGAAGAAAGTGTTCTGCTGTCTCAGCAGGGCTCAAGTTAGACTGCTTTCCTATTGGTTTGTATATTTCATGAAGCAGACTATTTCTCAGTTTAAGTTAGCCCTCCACTAGCAGTAGCCATACTCTTGAGTCTACAGAAGTGCCACTATACCTTTTCCAACTTCCATGCATAAACTGCCCAAGAGATATGTAGAAGCATGTCTATGTAAAGCAGACTCATCTTTCATTACTGCATATTGTTATGACAGATTAGCATCATCCCACAGTGGATAAAAATATCAGGACAGCTCAGCTCTTCAACCTTGCCTGCCCTCATTTACAGGGCAACAACAGAATATTTATCAATGCTGGCCTTTTATGGAATATGAAATATTATCTATAATTAGTTGGAGGCACATCCCAATAGATTTTCAAAGGCTGATAAAATAAGACTGAGTAACACGGTTGTGACAGAAAAGACCAAATGATTCAACATTTTGAGATTGTGGCCTTATTCCTTTATCCTCCTCCTCCAAATTTGGTATTCGCTACATACATATCACTAAAGAGATAGAGATATATTAGCGTACCTAAGCAATTTATGTTCACTAAATCAGATTATTTGTACATCAGAATATTCTTTTCATTAAGACAGAAATTCTATCCAGCTTGAGACTCTTAACGTTACTTTTCACTGTAGCCAAGATCAAACAAATTTTGCACACTTAAGGGTCACAAATACTTAGGGGAGACCATATATGTTGGTTGTTATAGCTCTTGCAGTCTTAAATGGAGTAAAGCTCAGTAAAACCAGTTCCCTTTGAAAATGGAAGTCACCCAAAGGTTTTCTGACAGGAAGCAGCATTACATTCATAGCAGTCTAGTCCTGCCACAGCCACCACGTTATATAATCCCTTTCACAAATTTATCATACTCCACCTTAAAGCAATTATGGTATTTAGCAGTCTGTCCCCTGTCTTGTGTGTTGTCCCCGTCCCCCCCGCCTCCTACCTTACTACTCCCATTAGAAGGCTGTTTCCAAACATGATGGTTCTAATGGTTAGGAACCTCCTGTTAAATATCCAAGCTACATTTATTCCTGACTAGTTTACACCCACAGCATGTCAACAGTACCCTTTAGTTTAAATAATTATTTTCCCTCCGATGTTTCTCTTTTGTGACAACCTTTTGTTTTTGGCTTGGCTAAACAAGCTTTTAGGCTCATCTCAGTGATTTCCTCTACACCTGTTCTGATTTATACGTATCCATCATGGCTGACCAGAACTATACAGTATTTGGGTAAGGACTCACTTGGGCCTTGCATGAAGCGCTGACATTTCCCTATCTTTACTAGAAACCCCATGCCCAACTCATTCTAGGATCACACTGCCAGCCCAGTGCTCTTTGGATTGACTGTACTGCCAGTTCCAACTGAAGAGCTCCTGGTTTACAAAATTTGTTGTTAGTACCCAAGTGCACAACCCTAGAGTTGGTTTCAACCCATTTCTACTACTCCAGTCCTTAAGACTGGAGTAGGGGTCTGACTCAATGATTTAATAGATGCCTTCGGACCTTAGACAGCTATGAAACCTATGAAGATAATCCATTTCTTTCTTAATATGCCAATCTTTC